TGTGTGTGTGTGTGTGTGTGTGTGTGTGTGTGTGTGTGTGTGTGTGTAGATGGGCAGCTAGGTGGCACAGAGCACCAGGTCTGCAGTCAGGAAGACTCATCTTCCTCAGTTCAAATCTAGCCTCAGACACTGCCTAGATGTGTGACCCTGGGCAATTCACTTAACCTTGCTTGCCTCAGTTTCCTCATCTGTAAAATGAGTGGGAGAAGGAAGTGGCAAAAACTCCAGTGTCTATGCAGAGAAAACCCCAAATGAGATCACAAAGAGTCAGACACGACTGAAAAATGTCTAAATAACAAAATTATTACTAATTTAGAATGTTTTTTTAATCTGGTTATTGACAGATTAGATTTGTTCCTTTGAAAACAATGATGTTTTTGACCATATATTAGGGAATGACTCAGTCTTATTCACTTGAATAGGTTCCTTATATATCTTATATAAAAACTTTATTGGAAAATTTACTGCCGAGATTTTTCTCCCGGTAATCTTTTTGACTTCTCATTTTAACTGCATTAGATTTGTTTGTGCAAAAAAAAATTACATAATCAAAAACATTGATTTTATCTCCTCTGATCCGGTCTGTTGCTTCAGTCATGAACAGTTCCCCATCCAAAGAGTTCAAAGGCTGTGTCTTCTTTGCTCTTCTAATCTGCACATGATGTCATCTTTTATGTCTGGGTTATCCATCCATTTGGAACTTATCCTGGTGCCCAGTGGGAGATGTGAGGCTATATGTGGTTTCTGCCAAATCACTTTCTAGTATTCCTGGTAGGTTATAGTCAAATAATGAGTCCATCTTCTAGCAAATTGGTTCTTTGTGTTTATCAAACCCTTTCCTTACTGTGCGTTTTTTTTCCTGTATATTGTGTACGCAATCTGTTCCACTGATCAAACCTCTCTCTTAACTTGTACTGAATGATTTTTAATTATTGTTGCTTTGTAATATAGTGTCATACAGTATTACTAGACCTCCTTCCTTCCTCCTTTTAAAAAAATAACTTTACGACTCTATTTCTACCATGTGAATTTATTATTTTTTTAACTTAATAAAATAATCTTTTATTGGTGTGGTACTGAATACATAAATTAATTTATGTAGTGTTGTCATTTTTACCATGTCGAGAACCCAATTTTGCAAGAACATATCTCTAGCTGAAAATGATTCTTATTTCTAGTTGACAGGTGACTAATGTTTGGTTGGGAGGCAAGGTCCTTGCCAATACACAGTTCTGTTTATTAATTTATTTAGTTTTGATTTTGTTAACACTACATGGTTTTCCATAATTCACTTTTTCAGGGGATAGAGTCTTGGGCCTGGAATTAGCAAGGCCTGAATTCAAATCCAGCTCAGACATTTACTAGCTGTGTGACCCTGGGCGAGTCATTTAACTTTTCTGCTTCTGTTTCTTCTGTAAAATAGGAATAATGATTGTACCTCCTTCTTATGATTGTTGTAAGGATAAGCTATTTTTACTAGTAGATCACAGTGCCTTGCACACTGTAAGCTCTCAATAAATGTTTGTTTTCTTTCTTCCTTCCATCTTTTCTTCTTTCCTTTCTTGCATACTTTTCCTTCCTTTTACCAGGAAGACAAAGAAACAGATTAAATGTTTAAGGGTTTGCTAGTGTTGTTTGAGTTCTCAGGTATAAACCTAAATTAAAATTGAAAAAATATAAGGAAATGCAAACATTTAACTCACTGACACTCAGCCTGTGACACAAAGATCATTCAGGATTATGTCATTTTTCAGGTGCATTTATTGGACACACAACTCCCCTTTGTTGGGAGAGTCATCATGGAGGTGGAATTGGTGGCGATCATGCTAGAACTGAGATTTGCTGAGGTGATAATAAAAGGAAAAAATGGAAATTAATGGTACTCTGATTATGAAGAACTAGAATTTTTAAACATTTCATAAATAGTTAAGGGAACGAATCTTTCAAGGTGGTAAGTGGGATATTTTGAAAAAAAGTTTTCTCATTAAATATTCTTTTGACTTGTCTTATTGAAAATGCCAGGTAGTTGTTGTTCAGTCATTTTTCAGTCGTGTCCAACTCTTCAGGACCCCTTGGGGTTTTCTTGGCAAAGATACTGGAGGGTTTTGCCATTTCCTTCTCTGACCTATTTTACAGATGAAGAAACTGAGGCAAATAGAATTAAGTGACTTACTCAGAGTCACAAAGCTAGTGAGTGCCTGAGACCAGATTTGAGTTCAGGAAGATAAGTCTTCTTGACTCCAGGCCCAGCACTCTATCTACTGTGTCTACTAGCTGCCCCCGACACATAGTTTTAAGGCACCAAATGATGGGTTTAGTTGTTCATTTGAGAGTATGAAATATCTAAATGGGTTACTTCCTATACTCATGCAAAAACACTACTTAATTTCCCTTTCAGTTTGATAATTATCTTCTTTTTTGTTATTATAATAGAAGGCACAAATAACTTTATTTTCTGACATAACCAAAACTGAAATACAACTAAAAATACATGATGAAGTTCCATTCAATTTTAGCTTTTATGAATATTTTATCACCATTTTCATCATTAGTACAAGAGCAACAAAAAAGCCCTATTGCTATTTATGTGGAATAATTGCTTTTTCCCCCTCAATGTTTCTTATATATACTTGGATGATTTTATTGTACCTATTTCAGCTTATTGCTCTAAGAAGTTATCGTTCCTTCATGCCTGGAATGCTTTCCCTCCTCACCTGTTCTTCAGAATACTTCTCTTCATGTGAGATCTTTCTCAATCACTACCTTCTGCCTGAAGCCTTTCATTATTCCCCCAGCTCACAGTGCCCCCCCCCAAAGAACTTTACGTTTAGCTACCTTGTATTTATTCTCTTTATATTTATTCTGTAACTACTTGTTACAGAATAAGGGAATGCCTGTTGTCTCTCCCCATCCCCCAAATGGAAGTTCCATGAAAGCCTGTTCCATTCTTTTCACTAATATGCCAATCTTTACAAGAATACATTGTCAGATTCCTCATTTTAGAGATAGTTTGTTGTATCTGTATGTCCCATGCTGAGCTAATAGATACTAATAGATGGGAGATAGACCTTTATGCATTGGACATGGTGTTAATCAATACCTCACCAGGAAGTCAGGCAAATATGGGTGGTGATATCCCTAGGAGAAGTGTGACGTACTAGTTTTTCTGCCATAGTTAACATGGTGGGATTTTAGGGGATGCTGAGGGCAGGAGCCAATGGTCCCATCAAGGCAGTGTGGTCAAAAGGAAAGGGAACTGAACTAGAAGTCAGTAGATCTTGGTTCTGGTCCCATCCCTGCCTGATCATCTATGATTCCATCTGGGTAAATTACTTCCTTTCTATGACTCAGCTTCTGCACTTGTAAATAAAACTCAATTTGACTAGAGATTCCTAGTCCCTTCCAACTTAAACAACCTTTAAGTCTCTAATTTCTGAGATTGAGGACAGGAAGAAAACAGCAGTTCAAAATTGTATATTATTTCTAAAATTGCCATCATCAAATAATAGAACTTCTCCAAAGTCCCTGTGATATTAATTGTTTGAGGGAATGTGACAGATACTAATTGAATAATCGTCACAGCGAGAGTCACTGACATGTATCAAGTGTTTTAAATTTTACTGATTCCAGCACCCATCAGGAGTCACCTCTGGGCCATGTGCTCACCCTGAGCATGGCACAGAGATCCACTTTATAGGGACTCTGACTTACTCACATGAAACTTGCTGTGGATTTTCTTTTCTGATGATGTCATTTACGCCCTTACAGATGACACGAGAACAGTACATATTGGCAACACAGCAGAATCACCTGCCCCGAACGGAGAATCCTCAATTTTATCCAGTTGGAATTTATGGATGGAGGAAGAGGTGCTTATACTTTTTTGTCCTCCTGCTTCTGGTTACTGCAATTGTTAACTTAGCCATGACGATATGGATATTGAAAGTGATGAATTTCACTGTGGTAAGTACAGACACAGCCCTCCATCTCTCTGCTGCTTGGTCAAAACCAATTCAGCTGTCCCTTTCAGTTTTCATCAGTAGCACAATCTTAATATTGCATGAGCATGGTAGAATTCCATGACTATGCTGGATGTGACTGTCTATTTATGATGAATTTCATCATGATATAAATATGACACTGGCTGATATTTAAGTCAAAAACAAAACTTTGGCTTGCTTTAAAATATTTGTAACCATCAAGTTGTTTTCTTGTAAGTTAGGAAATGCTTATTATGTCTATACATGTTCAATTTTTGATGGTCATAACAGGCATGTAGGAGGTGATGGCACTTTTTTTCTAAGTACTTCTTCATACTTATCTATGTCAGAAAAAAGATTGATTTCATTAAAACTATAAACAATAATATATGACAACAAAATAAATAAATAAATAAATATGCAAAAGAAGTTACGGAAACTCACTTGAAATTCCTGTCATTTAACAAGGAAAAAAAACAATTAACAAATAAACAGGATATGAAGCTTTTTTTGGTCAGTGTACCCTCCCAAGTCTGTCCAAAAGTTCTGCCACATCTGACCACCTTTGCATTCTATAATTAAGCTCAGAGTCTACACAATCTGGCTTCTGATGACTTAACTTTTGGTCAATGCCTAGAAGACTCTTCCTATGTTCTATCTTTTCTATAAAAAATATAGTGAACTTGTCAAATAGCAAAAAATATGAGCATTTCCACAAATAAAGGACAGAAAGAAATGATTGTGTATGAAATTGTGAATCTATTACATGCAGTTTTTTTAAGGAACATATTAAATTTAACATGGTCATGCCCTTATGGCCCTGCTTGTCTGTCCCCTTATGAATTTCATATGTGTGTGTATGTGTGTATATGTGTATATATACATACATACATACATATATATCCACCACCTTTCTATCAAGAGCTAGAAATCATGTTTTCTCATCAATCTGCTGTAGTCTTTACCAGTCACCAGAATAATTAGAATTCTGAAATCTTTCAAAGTCCTTTTCCTTTAAAATATCATAGATATTAAATAAATTGTTCTTCTAGCTCTGCTCATCTCTCTCTCTCTCTCTCTCTCTCTCTCTCTCTCTCTCTCTCTCTCTTTCTCTTTGTTGGTTGATATAGATCCTCCCAAGTTTCTCTGAATTTCTCATCATTTTTCATTTCTTAGAGTATGATAGTATCTATTATATTTATATGCCATAATTTGATGAGCCATCCTCCAATGGACAGCTCCTTAGTGTCTAACTCTTTGTTCCAATTAAAAAGGGTATTAAAAGTAGTTTTTGTACATCTTTGTCCTTATACTCCACCTTTTTTTTTTCTTTTCAGGGTATAAATGTGGTAGTGGTATTGCTGGGTCAGAGAATATAAACAGTTTAACAACTTTGGGGGTATTTTTCAAAATTGTTTTTCAAAATGGTCCAATTCATAGCTCCAGTGATTGCATATTATTATTCTTGTCCTCCAAAAGCCCTTCCTGTAATCAGTTTTCAGTTTTTTGTCCTCTATTCCAGTCTGATGACCATAAGATAGAACTTCATAGCACCTCGGTATTGAATATGTTCATTGTTTCTTAAAGCACAGAAATATTCCATTCATTCCATTCCTTTACCACCACTTGTTTAGTCATTCCCCAATCAGTGGAAATCTTTGTTTCAAGTCCTTTGTTGCCCAAAAAAGGTGCTGATATAAATACTTTGGTGTAAATGGACCCATCTTTTTATCATTGACCTCTTTGTTATATAGGCCTAGAAATAGAATCAGTAATTTTTAAAATTTTTTCTTATCATTATTCCACATTGCTTTCCAAAATTTCTGGACCAAATCATTTTTCCACGAGCTGTGTTTAAATGTTCCTGTTTATCCACAAGTGTCCAAAACTGAGTATTTCAATTTTTTCATCCTTACCTATTTGCTGAATGCAAAGTGAAACCTAAGGTTGTTTTAATGTACATCTCTCTTATTGTTTTATGATGTGGACCATTTTATATGGTTTTTAATAGTTTTCATTTATTCTTTTGTGAACTACTCCTTTTTTTCCTTTTAATAGTATTTTTCTAATTACATGCAAAGATAGTTTCCAACATTCACTTTTATAAAATTTATAAGTTCTATTTTTTTCTCCCTTCTTCTCTTCCCTCTCCCCTTCCCCAAGGCAGCAAGCAATCTGATATAAGCTATGCATGTACAGTCATATTAATCATATTTCCACATTAGTCATGTTGTGAAAAGAATCAGAACAAAAAGGAAAAAAAAACATGAGAAAGAAAAAACAAAAAACAAGTCAAAATAGTATGCTTCAGTCTGAAGCATACTCCATAGTTCTTTCTCTCCCTTTGGGTAGCATTTTCCATCATAAATCTTTTGGAATTGTCTAAGATCATTGTATTGTTAAGAAGAGGTAAGTCTATCACAGTTGATCATCATACAATATGGCTGTTACTTTGTACAAAGTTCTCCTGGTTCTGCTCACTTCACTCAGCCTCAGATCATCTAAGTATTTCCAGGTTTCTCTGAAATCAGCCTGCTTATCATTTCTTATAGCACAGTAATATTCCATTACATCCATATACCACAACTTTTTCAGCCATTCCCCAATTGATGGACATCCCCTCAATTTCCAATTCATTGCCACCACAGAAAGAGCTGCTATAAATATGTTTGTAAATGTGGGTCCTTTTCCCTTTTTTATGATCTCTTTTAGATAAAGACTTAGTAGTGGTATTGCTGGATCACAGGGTGTGCACAATTTTATAGCCCTTTGGGCGTAGTTGTGAGCTATTTCTTTATTTCCTTTCACTACTTGATGGCTTTTGCTCTATGTATCTTCATATTTTCCCTATGTATCCTGGATATTGGACCCTTATTAAAATGTTTTATTTTTCCCAGTTGATTACTTCTCTTCCTATCCTATTCATCATTATCCACTAGGTTATAAACTTCCTGAGACAAGGTAGTGTCTTTTGCATCTTTTTGTATCCTCAGTGCTTAGAACAGTACCTGGCACATAGTAGAGGCTTAATAAATGTTTATGGATTAGGAAAGTTTTTCAGTTTCATATAATCAAAATTACCTACTTTATCTTTTTTGTAGTCACTGCTACCCCTTGTTTACTTAGCAGTTTACTAGCCATAGAGATGAAAGGTACATGACCTGAATTACTTAAATTTATGTGATCAGATCTTTAATATTGAGTTCAAATATCCTTTGTGTGTGTGTTATGATAAATGGTGTATGGTGTTGTTCTAAATTCTGCTAGACTCCTTTCTAGTTTTCCTAGGAATTCTTTCCCAAGTAATTCAGTTTTCAGATCATACCCTAAGCTCCATTTTAAAGAAAAGTTGAATGGTCAGTCCTGCGTGCATGCTTATTATTTTCATTACTCAACTTCTCCTTTTCCTCCACAGTGGAATTGTTTCTATCTACCTCTTTGGAATTCCATGAGAGCCTCTTCTTTCCCCTGGGCTGTTTTTCCCTATAAATTTTTAACTGATAAGAACTTAGCTATCCTTTCTCCCAATACCTTAAAATTGACCCACCCCCAGTCAACTAGCATTCAGGTGTGCTGGCTGCGAGAATTGCATGTAGTAGTGAATTCAGCCATTTCCACTAGTTCTGCTTTCTGTTGTTCCATAGAGAAGCCAACAGGCTCATTTTCTATTAACTACGTTAGCATCTTTAGGAACAAAGCTTATTTTTTGGCCAGTAGACAGGGCTCTGGGTATCCCCCACCTTGCTGCCCTCTTCTACTCTTTTCAAGTTTTCTAGTGACTAAGCTAGGCCCAGGTTCAAGAACAACTAGCTTTATGTTCTGGAATATACTTCCCGAATTTGATGATGATGATGATGATGATGATGATGATGACGATGGTGATGATGATAATGATGATGATGGTGATGATGATGACGATGATGATGATGACGTTGATGACAATGATGACAATAATGATGACCTTGCTGATCATAATGGTACCGTCACAAGTACAGGATTCAGGAAATATAGGAAGTAGGATTAGACAATAGAAGGGCCCATCTCCCAAGAATAAGTAGATGATAGACCTTCTATACGCTGACCTCTTCCTTAAACTCCATCTAAAGCACCATATTGAATTCTATACACAGCAGTTTACAAAGGATAATAACAAACTCGATAGTGTCAGTAGAAGACCAGCCATGATGTTGACTAGTCCTTGAGTCATGTCCTTCAAGGATCAGTTTACTAAGCACTGTACTAAGCATTGGGAATGTGAATATAAGCAATCAAGAGAGACCCTGCCCTCAAGGACCTTACATTCTAACTAGATTAGAAATGAAGGCAAGCTGGAAAGTATCTGTATAGAGGGTGAGGGGAGTAAGGTGAGTAACCTATGCTGGAGAAAAGACTATTGGAGAGGAGGTGGAAAAGTCCAAAGTGAGGAGTGGTGGCACACTGCCATCATTTTCTTTGAGGTACTTTTTAAAATAACCTACCATCCATGTTCAAAGGGAGGTCACATATCCTCTTGTTCTCCTTGTAACATGTTCTGTATAAAAGCATATATAAGTTTAGCCTATGTTCTGGCATTAATTACATTTGGACAAATGCATACACATGGTACACATATGTAAGAATGATGGCCTTGTTCACTTGTCTGAGGAATAAGTTCACTTCAGTGTTCTGAGAAAAGCAATTATATTTTCTGAAGAAAGCAGTTGTGCATTCTGGGGTAGCAGTTGTTGAGTCACATATGACAAGAAATTTGCATATATATATATACACATATGTGTACATAAGTATACATGTGTGTTGTGTGTATGCATACATGCATGCATGTACATACATATCTCACCCTACCAAGATAAGGCCAAAGCTGACCTATCTGAGTTGAGTTACCAAATAGTACAACAGAGGTTATCATGGCGAAGAAATGGCAGTGATGGCCTTATTTGAGATGGAATGACTTAGGGCAAGACTGGGAAGAGACATCATGGATAA